CAAGACATGAACACCTGACATACACCCATCAACACCTGTTTACTCACCTACAGGTAGACTTTACACACATGCCAAAAGGAAGGAAAAAGACAAGAATATCTTTTGGTAATTGTGGACTGTTTAAGCCGCTGGGTAGAAAGCTTTGTAACCACAAAAAGAAGATGCCCAAACTGTAGTGAGGATCCTTACACGGGAAATTATTCCCACTGGTGGGGGATGTCCACTCCAGATTAATTCTGACAACGGTCCAGCATTTGTGGCCAAGGTATGTCAGGATTTGGTGAAAACACTCAAAAAATGAGTGGGATAGTTTCACATTCCTTACCACCCTCAGAGCTCAGGTATAGTGGAAAGGATGAATAGGACCCTCAAGGATAAAATTAGGAAAGCTACTGGAGGTACCTTTGCAAACTGGAAGAAAATACTGCCTGCAGTCTTGGCAGAGGTAAGGATGACTCCTTCTATAAAAGACAGGTTACTCCCCTTTGAGGTCTAAATGGGTAGGCCCTTTCCCACTCCCTGGGTAGACAGCCACTCATGGTAGAAAGAGGGGATTTGGAATTGATTCAGGAGGAATATGTGAGAAAACTTATTGAAACTTTGGACAAGGTTTGAAAGAAATTGTTGCTCGCACCTTTCTCTTTCTTCACAGGAACCAACTCACTCTTTCCAAGTCGGGGATCCGTGTGGTGATACAAGCCCTCCCATAGGAATCGGATAGCTAGAGTATCCCTTTGGGCCCCCCACTCTTCTGTGATCGCTGTCACCAGGAACCGCTGTCCTGACTGAGGATTCCAAGGCCTGGATCCATGCCAGCCGTGTAAAAGGGTGAACCAAGCCCCTAAGAAGCAAGACAAAGGGCAAAGACACAGATACAGAAGAAGAAAAAGGAAGTGAAGCCGGTGTAAAAGTCTTTGAAGAAGTAGATGACCTTTCTGATGCTCTCACAGAACTCTGGGCAGGGGCCACATTTTGCTTCCTCATTACTAGCAGCCCTGACTGTGTTCCTCCCAGTATGGACAATAACTAACTGTATATTTATCACCCAGATGATGATTATGGAGTGAGATTAAGAGTATATGTAATACCTCCATACCAAGCTAGTGACCCAGATAATGCAGAACCAGTGCACACACAAAACCATAGTACACAACATTCTAGTGTCAGAAAAGAAACGAAGTCTAACCCGCACTAAGAGAAGGATGAGAAGAATGTCCTTTGTACAAGATAAGGGATGGGGGTTACAGGAAACACCAGTCTTGACTACTGAGGATGTAAATCAGACCATAGTGTTTACTCTGACTAAAAAACCAGGTGTTTGACCCGACTAAAGTTACATATGATATTGGACCTTATAATGTGTACATGTGTGGGAGGGGAATAAGCCCTGTGGTTACTGGGAGAATATATGGTGGACAACAGACCCTCATAAATGGGAGACCCAATCAGCTAGAATTCCCCTAGAGGACATAGGCACCTATCAAAGAATCTCTATAGCAAAAGGCCAAGGGAATATCATTTTCACAATAAGGAAACCCACAGGTCAGAGATAGTGGGGAATATAGGTTGGGAATAACTGTGTCAGGAACAGACCCCCTGGGCCAACCTCATATTACAGGTAAAACCCTCCCCAAGAGTCCATGTCAATACCATAGACAATTCATTCCCCAAAGTTAGGAATCGATCTGGATAATGAGGTGACAGGAGTAGTGATGCAATCAGAAGATAGATTAAGCATTGAAACTGGTTACTCTGACAAAAATGAATGGATTGAATGGGTGAGATGGACCACTAAAAGTAAGGGACAGGGAGACTGTGTTTCATGTGCCAATCCCCGCCCCCTACTTGCCACAGTTCCTTTGTTAGAAGAAGAAACTAATATGTCCTGCCTAATTAGAATGTATAAAGATAACATCACTGAGAAGGAATGTTCTGATTTTGTTAAGAGGTTCCCTGTTACCGGATTACGAAATTTACCTTTGGCCTCTAAACCGGTACCAGGAAATTTTACCTGCTTTGAACATGATGATGCTAAGGGTAAAGATTTAGGTACATTCCCACCTAATTTACTGTGTTTAAGACCATCCGCACCTCCGCAGAAGGCTACCGGAAGGAATGGTTTCAGGACCCCACGGCAGCAACTGTCAGATGTGTGGTGGCTGTGTGGAGATATGAGACTCAGAGCCAGACTCCCCAGCAGATGGAAGGGAAGCTGCGCTCTGACCCATCTTCTCATGCCTTTCTTTATGATCAAAGTAGAAGATGGGATAAGAAGCTTGCCCATCTTGGAAAAAATCCAGATCTAGAAGGTATAAAAGAAATGCACCCCGTGGTTCCTTTGATAATAGAGTTTACATAGATGCTATAGGTGTACCAAGAGGAGTCCCTGATGAGTTTAAAGCTCAGGACCAGATTGCTGCAGGGTTTGCCTCTATTGCTATATGGGTACAGCCTAACAAAAATGTGGATTGGATTAATTACATTTATTATAATCAACAAAGGTTTGTTAACTATACTAGAGATGCTCTAAAGGGGGTCTCTGCCCAACTTGATGCAACATCCCTTACTGCTTGGCAAAACCGCATTGCTCTTGATATGTTATTAGCTGAGAAAGGAGGAGTATGTAAAATGTTTGGTTCCTACTGCTGTACTTTTATCCCCAATAACACCGCTCCTGATGGAAGCATTACTAGAGCCCTTCAAGGCCTCCAAATGTTGTCTGAAGAATTGGCTGAAAACTCAGGAGTAGAAAATCCACTAGCTGGTTTTTTTTGAAAATTGGTTTGGTAGATGGGGAACTCTGATGAAAACTATGCTGATTTCTATAGTAATGGCTGCTGCAGTATTAACTCTGTGTGGTTGCTGTTGTATCCCCTGCATCCGAGGTTTAATGCAGAAACTTATTGACGCCACCATTACTAGAACCATGTGGAATCAGTGTCTTGATAAAGGACCTACTAAGGGCCCCAGGTACCAACCTGTAAAAAAGGTGTAAGGTCACGTGCGTGACCTAAGAGGGGGTTTGAAGGAATTAGCCTTTCAGCATTACCATACCGCCATATTGTCTCTTGACCTGAGATCTGCCATTTTAAGATAAGAATCCATTTTGAGATTTATGTCAGTACTTAAAGATGAATTTGTGTTTTAAGACTGTTTCTTACTTTCGATAAGAGTCTGAGGTTCCTCTTTTCCCTTCAGATGTAACTTCCTTTTTTCCTCTACCGAGCACAAGACTGAAAGTCTGCGGTGGGCTTTTTCCTGTTGCAAGAGTATTAAAAAACTATAGCCAGCGCTAAAAGGGAAGTTGTCTACTTTCTATATTAATGTTTGACGCATATAATAATAATAATTAACATAAATGCTAAATGATTGGGCATTACTGACGTATATAATATTCTGATTGGTCAATGCATACCTGTCAATTGATTGGTTCTTATATTTCCATGTATTGTTTTAAGTTTCATATATAAGTTTGAACACGGAAGAATAAATTCAGTTCCTTCTGAGATACCACCTTGTGTCTGTGTGCAATTTCCTGTATCTCAAAGGGGACTCCAGGCCTGTAGACAGACATTGATCAGGGCCAGGGACTGACGGGAGTCGGTAGCTACAGGAAGGAACGAGAGGAGCCAATTCCTTTCATGGACCACAACATCACTGAGCTCCTAGACAGTCTGAGGTGCAACCTGGCAGCGCCAGACAGACCAAAACATGGAATCTCAGAGGTGTTCTATTGGATTTAGGTCAGGCGAGCGTTGGGGGGCCATTCAATGGTATCAATTCCTTCATTCTCCAGGAACTGCCTACATACTTTTGCCACATGAGGCAGGGCATTGTTGTGCCCCAGGAGGAACCCAGGACCCACTGCACACCAATGAAGGGTCTGACAATGGGTCCAAGGATTTCATCCTGATACCTAATGGCAGTCAGGGTGCCATTGTCTAGCCTGTAGAGGTCTGTGCGTTCCTCCATGAATATGCCTGCCCAGACCATCACTGAACCACCACCAAAAGGGTCATGCTGAACGATGTTACAGGCAGCATAATGTTCTCCACAGCTTCTACAGACCCTTTCACATCTGTCACGTGCTCAGGGTGAACCTGTTCTTATCTGTGAAAAGCACAGGGTGTGGACCTGCCAATTCTGGTGTTCAATGGCAAATGCCAATCAAGCTCTATGGTGCTGGGAAGTGAGCAGAGGGCCCACTTGAGGACGTTGGGACCTGAAGCCACCCTCATGAAGTCTGTTTCTGATTGTTTGGTCAGAGACATTCACACCAGTGGCCTGCTGGAGGTCATTTTGTAGGGCTCTGGCAGTGTTCATCCTGTTCCTCCTTGCACAAAGGAGTAGATATGATCCTGCTGATGGGTTTAAAGCCCTTCTACAGCCCTGTCCAGCTCTCCTAGAGTAACTGCCTGTCTTCTGGAATCTCCTCCATGCGCGAGAGACTGTGCTGGAAGACACATCAAACCTTTTGGCAGTGAAACGTATTGATGTGCCATCCTGGAGGAGTTGGACTGCTTGTGCAATCTCTTTAGGGTCTCGTGCTACTAGTAGTGACATTGACCCTAGCCAAATGCAAAACTAGTGAAAAAAACAGTCAGAAAAGATGAGTAGGGAAAAAAATGTCAGTGGCCTCCACCATTCCTGTTTTTGGAGGTCGTCTCATTGTTGCCCATCTAGTGCACTGTTGTTAATTTCATTAACACCAAATCAGTTGGAACTGAGTGACAACCCCCTCTGCTACTTAACTGACCAGATCAATACCTCAGGGAGTTTAAATTAACTTGATGCTATACTCTTATTAAAAAGTGTTCCTTTAATTCTTTTGAGCAGTTTGTGTAATATACCATATTTTTCGGCGTATAAGACGACTGGGCATATAAGACGACCCCTACTTTTCCTGTTAAAATATATAGGGTTTGAGCTATACTCGCCGTATAAGACTACCCCTCTTCCACCCCTCTTCCAACGCACACACCAAATAAAAAATGAAAAAACATCAGATTTGATTTCAATATGGTATGGTATTTCAGTATGGTATTCCAATGATGGGGTGCTATTCCTACCACTGACACCAATGATGGGGCACTATTCCTCCCACTGACACCAATGATGAGGCAGTACTCCTCCCACTGACACCAATGATGGGGCACTATTTCATCCACTGACACCAATGATGGGGGCACTATTCCTCCCACTGATACCAATGATGGGACACTATTCCTCCCACTGACACCAATGATGGTGCCCCATCATTAGTGTCAGTGTGTAAGGAATAGTGCCCCATCATTAGTCAGTGGGAGGAATAGTGCCCCATCATTGGTGTCAGTGGGGAGGAGGAATAGTGCCCCATCGTTGGTGTCAGTGGGGAGGAGAAGTAGTGCTCCATCATTGGTATCAGTGGGGAGAATAGTGCCCCATCATTGGTGTCAGTGGGGGAGGAATAGTGCCCCATCATGGTATCAGTGGGAGGAATAGTGCCCCATCATTGGTGTCAGTGGGGGAGGAATAGTGCCCCATCATTGGTATCAGTGGGGAGAACAGTGCCCCATCATTGGTATCAGTGTGGAGGAGGAATAGTGCCTCATCGTTGGTGTGAGTGGGGGAGAGGAGCGGCTGCTCCTTCTTCCAGTTCGGCCGTTCGATTTTTGCGGAGCGGCTCGGCTCCGCCTCCTCGCCGGTGATTGGTCGCCTGTGTGCCTTTACAGTGCTGGCGCCCAATCACCGGTGAGGAGGCGGAGCCGAGCGGCCGCGTGGACCATCAAGCGGCCGAACTGAAAGAAGGAGCAGCCACGCTTCCTGGACCGGATCGTCGTGGGACCGGAGCCAGGTAAGGTACAGCAGCCCCTCAGCCCACCCCTGTACTTAGTGTCCGTTGGAGGAGGAGGGGGGGCGGCGCCGCGCCGCCCCTCGAAAAAGTGCCGCCCTGACACCGGCTCGCACCGGCGTATAAGACGACCCCGACTTTTCAGAAGATTTTCAGGGGTTGAAAAGTCGTCTTATACGCCGGAAAAAATTACGGTATATATATATATATATATATATATATATATATTATATATATATAATATATATACACACACACATATACACACACACATACATACATACATACACACACATACATATATATATAATACACACACACATATACATACATACATATACACACAAACATATATACATACACACACACTTATGCATAGCCCTAAACCAATGGTAATCTAAAATATGAAATATGTTCTAAATTCTTTTTATCCTTTTTTATTTTCTATGAATGATTTTGCAGTGTGTTTGTTTTTTATTTTTACACTCTGAATATTTTAGTATCATACAAATAAGTTATCAGCCCATAAATGAATGCTAACACACTGAATTTAATCACACAAGGAAACAACACACACAATAAACAGCCTACAAAGTATAAAGCTACATGGTATAATAAATGAATACTATTAATATGCAGCAGTATCTATGTGAAGGATAAAAAACAATAATATGTGCAGAAAGCCTGGTATGTTATGACTCTAAACCTCAGAGTGAATGTAGAAAGTGCTTTATCGTTGCCCGACTTTGCTCATGCAAGGCGCGATAACGGTATGTGTGCATCTCCTTCACATAAAAACACAGTCAGTCAAACAGAGGTCATCCAAAGGGTTAACATAGCATTGTCAGAGGCTCAGGAGTTGATTCTCTGAAGTCTCTAAGCACTGTATCACTCACAGTGTCATGTTTTATTCTTTGCAGGATATTAGGTACAAAACTCGAACACAGGAAAAGTCATAAAACATTCACAGCTGTAGAAAATACAGAAGCACAGGCTTCTAAATGACTAATGAGCCAATAGACAATCTTCATATTTACTTTTCAATTACTGCTAACATCTGAAAGCTATTGCATTCATTTTTGTAGACGAGAACACAAGTGGCCTTGTGTATGGCAGCCACTGAAAATACATCTGTCCGTGCTCCAAGTAACACCCCATAAATGTTTCTTTAGATCTGGTGTATGTATGAAAATTAGCGGGGATATAGGTTGTTTCTATGTTTAAAGAGACACTGTCACTTTGCCCAGTGTCTGTAGATAACCCCCCTACTTCCAACCTTTTTTTTAAAAAAAACTTACCAAGCCACATTCCTTTTTGTCCGCCTACCAGTTGAAGCATCTCAGTTTTTCTAAGCTTCAGAGTCAGCTGATAATGGAGCATAGCCATAGCCAGGGTGAAGACACAACATGCCCCCCAAATCTAACAGTATTGGGGCTTGGTTTTTTGGCTGCTTAGAAATGAGCACAGTTACATGGAAGAGGTCACATGCTTCCTCTTCCATGGTAAGGTTTTCAGCAAGGGTATGGGGCGGTAAGACAAGTGACTTGGGAGTTTAGCTTGGGTAATATAACTGCCTAGGAAGGGAGGACTAACAGACCCCTGTCACTTTGCTCTGAATGCGCTAATACATGTATTTGGGAAATGGAACTCCATCCAAAAGTAAATAAACTATGGTATATATTTTGGAGAGAGCAGGGGAATGCTAAAAAACTGTTAATTTATTATTGCTATCTGTATCTCTGCTGGGTATATTTCTACCATTCAAAGTCATGTGACACAACAGAAAATGAGGAAATCTCTTCATCAAGGGCACAGACCACAATAAAACACCAAACATTGACTCTCCACACACTACCAATAATACTACTAATAATATATTTTATTTGCTGTGTCCCCACTAGAAAGATTATCCATTATCTTTGTCTGTTATACAATTGAAGCATTAGTGAAAAAATCACAGATGGGTACACATCACATGGTTCTATCATATTATTGTGGACATTTTTATAAATTACATTAATGACAGT